TAGATACAGTGGCTTTGCTGCCACTTAACTTTTTTGATTTTTAAAAATCCGAAGTTATTTTTATATGTAGCTACAGCTACCTCTTATATCCAGGTTGTCCGCCATTTTAATATTACACTTTGTGCTATACTATTTACTTGTATTGCTGCCTTTAACGGTTTATTGTATTTAAAAGGGGTCATCCCGCCATACTCACGATAACAAAGTGTCATGTCTAACTGGGGCTGCAAGTAATGATTTTAGATGCAAAATCTACTGGTTATTCTATAAAATGTTTGTATGAAATGGTTAAATGCCCCTTTTTTTTTTTTTTATTTAAATAATTTGCCCAACCCCAAGGCAACGTATTCAAATGTCCTGTTTGTCCCTCAACACCCAAAGATGCTCAGTCTATGGTCACACATGACAAAAAGCATCAAACTCTCACATGAGATGCTGTAGATTATTTTATTTTTTCCTTATGAATTGGTTATTTATACAGTTATCTGTTCTAGATCTGAAAGTGCTGACATTTTATTAAGACTTCCATCTCTGAAAACAGTTTCAAGTCTTCGATTTATCTCTTGTGGAATAATTACTCCTGTTAATACAAGAAATGCCTCTATCATATCACCATGCTTATTGTTGCGGATTTTCTTAACTATTATATTCTGTAGCTTGTAGGACCTGCACTTTGTTGTCACTTATGTTTTTATGCTGCCTTTGCTGCATAAATTCCTGCTGGGACATTAAATCTAAACTGACCTCCTTTTTTCACTTCCAGGAATCATCACAGCCCTTGTCTTGTAAAAATGAAGATTTTACCAAAAGCTGCTTTGAGAAGCCCTCCGCCAAGCAGCCCTCTTTCCAGATCCATGTGGATGAGCCTGATGGTGCATGTGCCAAGAAACCACAGCAGGTGGTTGAAGCTGTCAAAGCAAAGCCCATCACTGAAGACTCTCCACTGACCGTCAACAATGCTGTGGCACGGCTTAGGCAACCCCTCGCCACCATTGACATTCCATCAGCGATGGATGTCAGCTTTGGTGGGTTGTCAATTTTTATTTTTTTACTAAAATCCTTGTATCTCAGAAATTCATATCAAAATATGTTCATAGAAACTGACCACCCAGATTTGGTTTCTCAGTCTGTGCACTAAATGTAAATTTTTCTTTGATCAGACTCTCCCATGGACATGTCTGTGGTTGAGGGGGAGGAGAAACCTGTCAATGTAAACGAGGTCCCAGAATATGCTGCTGAAATCCACACATACCTGAGGGAAATGGAGGTGAGATATTTTAAGTGCAAATGCCACTGTATCCTGATCTGATACAGTTTAGACCTGAGGTTGCAGGTCTAAACTTCAGATCTGTGTCTTGGTAGGGTTATGCCAAGTTTGCCATTAGACCTTTTTTTTGAAATGTAGTTTATCTGAACTTGTCTGCACATGGCTTCTTTTTCTAACAGTGTTGTTTTATAGGTAAAAACCAGGCCTAAAGCAGGCTACATGAAAAAGCAACCAGACATCACCAACAGTATGAGGGCCATCCTGGTGGACTGGCTGGTTGAGGTTGGCGAAGAGTACAAGCTGCAGAACGAGACACTTTATCTGGCCGTAAACTACATTGATCGATTCCTCTCTTCAATGTCCGTCCTGAGGGGGAAGCTTCAGCTGGTCGGGACTGCTGCTATGCTGCTGGCTTCGTATGTGTCCATTTTAAAATGTATTCAGTGTTCAGATTACAAAATTAGTGTCTAATACAGGCATTTCATCTTTTGTAATGCGATTCCTTTAATGATCAAATGCAGGAAATTTGAAGAAATCTACCCCCCTGAGGTGGCAGAGTTCGTTTACATCACAGATGACACTTACACCAAGAAGCAAGTGTTAAGAATGGAGCATCTGGTACTTAAAGTGCTCTCCTTTGATCTGGCAGCGCCAACCATCAGCCAGTTTCTCACCCAGTACTTCCTCCATCAGTCTGTTAACAAACAGGTTGAGAGTTTGGCAATGGTAAGCATGCAGTTATTACACTTTTATACAATTGGCTGTGATGTTCAGCACCTCTGGCCATGACAGCAGATAAATCCAATCTTCTTAACCAAAGACTCTGTTTAGTGTAATGTATTTGCATAAATTGCATGAAGCTCAGTCTTTTATTTATTTATTTTTCCCCCCTCAGTACCTTGGGGAGCTCAGTCTGATTGATTCAGATCCCTTCTTGAAGTACCTGCCATCACAGACAGCTGCTGCAGCCTACATCCTGGCCAACAACACAGTGACTGGTGGCTCATGGGTGAGTTCTGGGTAGAATAGTAAGGCCATATAATTCAGTAGATGATGGCACTCAAAGTAAAATTTTCTGCTCGACATTGTTCATGATTGTAAATTAGTTTTGTCTTCCATAGCTTAACTGTTCTGACAAAATAAACAAATGGAGCTATTACTGTGGTCACAGAAGCTGAAATTCACATTTCAACTTATCACTTTTTTTTAAAGTTAATGAACATTAGTGTCATGGCCATAAAAACAGGGTTGTTTTGGGTGTTTTATTGGATAAACTTTTTTTCATCTTGTACTGTTGGAACCAGTTTTTCCCCAAGCGGAAAAAGAGGTGGGCTTCTTGTCGTGTGTGTTGAAACATCCAAGATGACTCAGTTGTCTCTTCCTCAGCCCAAGTCCTTGACAGAGATGTCTGGCTACTCCCTGGAGGATCTGATGCCATGTGTTGAGGATCTGCACCGAATATACCTCAATGCTGCTCAGCATGCTCAGCAGTCTGTCCAGGAAAAGTACAAGGCCCCCAAGTAAGTACACTACTTGTAAACTTGACATAGGATTTGATGACTTTGTTAATCTTACTGGTGGCTTTACTTTGAATTAATGTACTGTATAAATGACCTAAACACTGCTTTTGTCTGTTTCCTAGGTACCATAATGTTTCCTGCATCGATGTGCCAACCAAGTTGCTGTTGAACTGACCTTCCCTTGTCCATGTAGTTATAACCCCAGTTTTTTTAAATTTTTTTTTTAAATGATGTGTGCCAGTTTCAAATAACATGGCCTGCTCTTCTTGGAGTAGTGCTAAATGTTTAGAGTTTTTTTTAAAAATGGTATTTTTATATACTCGATCCTGACATTCAAGCCAGATGCTACAGTTGTTTTGGTTAATCAAGCAGTTTTAATGTTGACTTTTAATCAGACAAAATGTAGAGGTCTTTATTGCCATGCTGTAACACGATGCTTTGATCTGCAGTGTCACCTACTCATCAGACCTGTAAATGTATTCAAACTCAATCTTTTATATTTTTCCCTCGTGTTGAGTTTGTTCTAAGCAGTTAATTGTTGCTTGTTGCACCTCCTTGAGGTGTAACCATCAAATATTTGGCCTCCTGAGATGCAGATTAAAGTGTATTTGTCTGTCATGGAGTCAGCTGTCTCATTACATTAATGCCTTGGGAGTTCACAGCTTTTCAAGGCATCTTCTGCACTGTAAAATATGGCTCTTGTAAATAAAAAACTTCATTTTAAGTAAGACTTCATTTCTACATCTTTATGATCACATTGTCCTCACGGGGGCAGCAGAGGACCAGTTTTGAACCTCCGAGTATTTCTTCTGATGACCTGGAAACTTACTTTATGATGATGCAGTCTAGAAGACTAGTTTGTTTTAAACTGGGTGTACATGTACATCTTCTCTAGATGGGGTCAAAGTCGGTTTGACTGGTTCAGCTTTGTTAATTTAAAGCCTGTCATGGCTTATTGATCTTCAGGCCCTCACCATACTAATTACATGGCATGAGGCTTTAATGGTTTAATGGTAAGCTGGCTAAACTGAAAGTGAGTTGAGTCCTTGGAGCTGTAACTTACTCTCAAGTTTAAGTTATGAGGCTTTAGATGACACTCATGTGTCTCCACATATTTTTGGCTTTTTTTCCAAGAATTTTTTTTATAGGAACATGTAACTAAAACATCATGCAATAAATGCTACCTTGAGGGTTGTAATTTTAAGTTGAGGTGTGTATTTAACTTGAACAATAACTTTAGATGCTGTAAGTTTGAGGTGCTGTTGAACAATGTTGCATGACGGGTTTCTATTTTGCCTACCCTCAGGTCAGTTTAACAGCACCACAAACGCCAAAGCAGCCTCTAAAATTATACAGACCCAGAACGGCTTCAACAGACTGAACATAACTCCTGGATTTAGAGGATTTATTGTATTAGACTGCATTAGTTTTAGCTAGGTGAATCCAACAAATTCAGAGATGAAAGGGGAAGAGAAAAAATGTAATAAAACAAATGAAAGACGACTAGAAGTTAAAATAATTCAAGAAAGGCGTTTGAGGGGAAACTGGGACAAGTAAAATAAAATACTGAGATGGGTAAAAATTAAACTTTAAAGATAACTTAGAGACTTTAAAGATTCTTAATTGACATCTCAGCAGTTGTATAATTTACACAAACCTTATGTGATACTATGATTTGTTAAAGCCACTAGTAATAAATGTATATAAATGTGTATGTCAAACAAAGGTTGCCCCTTTTTTGTCTGCATGTTTATCACTCAGTAAATGACAGAATGGGATTGACGTTTTCTACTCATTCAGCAGTGATTTGTTTTTTTCCCTGTGAAAGTGAAGTGAAGGCAGCCAATGGCGTTGAAGGCACCTCTCGCTCTCCCCCGCCCCCCCCCCATGATAAATTGGGAGGCTGGCTTTGTGCGAGGAGTCTGACAGGAAAGGGGAAGCAGAACCCAGCTGCAGAAAAGATTTCCACCATTTCATCTCAGGAGAATGGACAGCTCCAAGACCATGCACACACTCTCCAACAGGTTTACTTCGTCACTGACAGCACACGCTTGTGTCTGACTGGAGGATTAAACCATGGAAGCTGATGGGAATTCTATAACATAACTAAACCAGTTGGATACCTGCTTGAACAATGGCTCCTGTAGAAACAGCACAGCATCTGTCTAACCCCTGAGAAGATCCAAGAGGAGGGTGGGTTGCTTCCTAACCCCATGCCTGCCCCCAGAAAATTTCTGGTGGCGTCCACCTCGCTGCCCCTGCCACTTGGTTGGGGCTGGAACTTGAGCTTGTATGTGGGGATGCTCCTCGGGCTCCTCATACTCATGATGCTTCTTCTCTGGATGCTCTTCAAGCAGCTCAGGAACTCGGTGGCGAAATCCGTGCTGCAGCCTGTCCGCTCTTTCAGACAGCCTTGCTTTGAACAGAGGTTTCAGCACGTGTTGTGAAAAAAAAAAAGAAAGAAAAAAACGGGACAAACCTGCTGAAACACAGGACTGAGGCTTGCTGGAGTGCTTGAGTGTGCCTTTGCAGATTCATGTAAGAAAATGACTTTAAACAATTGTTTGTTATGGACGCAAGTGCTTATATTCCCTCACAACATAATAAAAACCCATGTTGTTATTTATAGAAACCACTGTCTGTTCTTTTAACAGCTTTATATGTTGCTCCAGCACCATCTTCCTCAGACAAGCATAAAACGAGTTGTCTTATCTATGTTCTTTTTAGTAATTAAAAATACTATTGGAGCTATGTCTTTTCATCTCTCAGGTTAATTTACACAGCCAAACTCAAACATCTAAATTGCAGAGTAAAAGCATAAACCAAGATTAAATCTGCATCTCGATTCATGATGATTAAAGCAATGCATTCAGGGGGGCAATTTGCACTCCTCTCATCTCATTGGAGAATTGGAAAGAGGAATATTGAGGATATGCCGCCGATGAAAAATATGAAAGGTGCTGCTGTGTGCCACTTGGTTTCTCAAGTCCTATGTCCATGTCAGGGGACAACACAAATGAGGCTCTTGAGGCAAAAGGCTAATATCAACTGCAAGAGCCCCACAGGCTTAATACTGTTTGATATTTCTCAGGTATTTACAAGCGGTCGCACAACACAGGCAGGGGTGTTTGTTGAAGCTGGAGAGATCGCACTTTTTGTTCAGTGTGACTTGGTTAATTTAAGTCTTAATGTGTTTTGGTTTTTTCCCCTCTTCAATCATCAGTCACAGGTGGCCAGGCTGTGTTTGATTGAATACTCTGAGAGGAATCAATAGCCTCTCAGCCCTGAGGGGAGCATGTTAATTACACCTTGACAGTTGATTTCCTTACATGGCAACACAGTAACACGTAAGGTTTAGACGGAGTGCTTCTATGTGTTGCCTCTGCATTGTTAATGTTACTCAAAGGGTGTAAACACTGTAATGTGTCTGCAGGGGAAGAAACCTTTGGCTTTAACCAAAACATTAAAATTAGTTGTTTTATATAGGCCCTAATACACTTAGCTGATTAATTTGAAGACATCTTTTTTGTGTGTTTTTTCAGCCAAGAGTTAGATCTGTATCTCATGTCCATTCAATATAGTATATCTGCAACCAGCGGTCCAGTTAGCTTAGATTAGCATGACGGCTGAAAACAGGGGGAAACAGCTGGCATGGCTTCATCCAAAGGTAACAAAATCCAACAAGCAGCATCTCTAAAGCTCACTGACTAACACCTAATATCGCCTTAGTTTAATCTGTGCAAAAAATAAATAAAAATTTGGTTCCATTTGAACAGAGCCAGGCTAGCTGTTCCCCCAGTTTCCAGTCTTTGTGCTAAGCTAAGCTAAGCTAACTGATTGCTGGCTCTAGCTTCATATTCAGTTCACAGCAATGGTAGTGATATCATTCTCCTCGTCTAGCTCTCAGAATATTTGTCATATTTGCCTCAGACACTATTAATGGTCTGTCTGAAAATACTTCACAATCCAGGGATTCTACCTCAACAGGTTTGCACACAGGTCATTTCAAACTTTGCTTTCCTGCTGCCTTCAGCAAGAGGACTGTAGATTAATCATAGCTCCCATTAACTGCATGTTTTTTTTTTTCCACCTCTGCCATTTGGGCCTCCCACTGCCCTCTGGCAATGCTCTGTCATCTGTGGCCTCACTTTCATCCTGCCCCCCCCTAAATAAACACAGAGCCATAATGTCTTTGAATGCAGCATGCATACAAGTTAAGACAAAAAGCAAAAAAACCCTACCTATAACTTAAACATGAAAAGAGTCAGGGCAGTGCCCTTTGCAATTCAGCCGGGTTCCCTCTGCAGATTGTGCAGAGTCTTGCAGAGATAAATAGAAATCCTGATGGGAGTGATGTGGTGAGAGATCTTTTAGAGTGAGGCCAGCAGAGAGGAGCTTGGAGACACTAAAATATAAATCAAGGTAAACTACGCCTCTGAGCAAGACAAGAAAATAAAATTTTATGGAGTAGGTATTCTTTTGATGGCTGTTTTCAACATTTGGGGGAAAAACACTTCACATAGGCGATTAACTGTGAAGTAGCTATATTAACATTTTATGATGGAAATATTTAGTTTTAAATTGCGTTTCTTTTTGTTAATACAGTTTGTCGTCTGGGTGGCACTCTGTATGTTGTCATGAACTTTGTCATTGATATATTCCAAATACGACATTTTTCTAGTCATTCACATGTAATTTGGACACGGATCATTTGCTCTCTGTGAAAAGATTTAATGATGCTTTAAAAAGGATGTTTTCTAAAGTGCTGATTGCCACATCGACCTATAGCATAAAAGTGCTGCTTATCATCTTTAATATAAACCCTTTTTTTTTTTTTTGGCAGTATGCAGTACACACTTCAAATTAAAAGTCAATTTTTATTCAGTATTTTATAAAGGGCTATACTATAGCCAAGACTGGAATTTCCAACAGGCAACCAGATATTTGTGCATTAAGTTGTTAGGTTTTGTGGTAATTTAAGTAATTGCAAAATTATTTATTGTGGGAATATGAACCACTGAAGTATAAAATAATCAAGGAATAGCTTAACAGTTTGAGATATACGCTTCCTTGCCAAGGACTGAAGATTGATTCTCTCATATTTGTATGTTAAATATGAAGGTAAAACCAGGACATGATTAGCTTATCGTGGCGTGAAGACTACAATTCAGTCAACTTCTTATGTACTGCTGTAGTCATGGTAACTGGTGGATTTAGTAAGCTTTGAACAGCATAGTCAGCATTTGAGATACAGTGGACTCCATTCAAGTGAAAGGAAAACTAGCCTCAGACTTTTAAACCCTTCTGTATCTGTCATTTTCAAAACAGCATTAAATCTCTTTCATAGAGAGCAAATTATCTGTGTCCAAATGACATGTGAATGAGTAGCTAGCTGTTTCCCCTTGTTTCCAGTCTTTATGCTAAGCTAAGTTAATCACCTGCTAGCTTCCTACAGTGGTTGAGAGTGACAGGCCTATCAATCGTTCTCATGTAACTCTCAGCAAAAACAGCAAAGTATATTTTCCTAAATTTAAACCATTATGTGGTGGTTTAATCTGGTTACGACTCTACCTTCACACACAGGTTGTATATTTGTTCCTTACTGAAAACTAATCTAAAGTAGCTATTGGGCATTTAGGCAAGCTAACATCCTTACTGACTCCCAATTACTAACTGCTTACTTGCTGATATTGCCACCTAATTTCATCAGTTATGTTTTGAAGTAATGCAATCTGACATTAGGCGTTGCTAAACTTGAAATTAATTTCCCACCTGAATGTGATGTCCATTCAAAATGGCCACAGTGGGATGATTGTATAGTTCCACTCTGAATTTCAGTCTAAAGCCACATGGTTGTTTATATCAGAGCCCTGACCAGTTACCCAATAAAAAAAGGTAGATGTTATTCTCAAACTGTCTATGACATTAAGGTGTGATTTTTGTGGACAGTCTCAAAAAGTCCATGAAGGCAGGTAATATTTGTTGAAATGGAGCTATCAGCGCTTGATAACACCTTCCCTCGGTGCAGAGGAAGATAACAAACAGAACCGATCAGTGGTGGCTAGGGAGGCCCTTTGATTGATGACAGAGGTTATTGTCTATCAGTCAGCACCTGACAAATTGAGCTGTCCGCGGCTCTGTATACCAGGCTGTCCCTCGGCGCTCTGCTCATGAATGAAAAGCTCACGCTGATTCACTTTTGAAATTGACAACTCAGGGATGATAGCAAGAAGTGAGAGTGACAGTCAGCAGTTTGCAGGCTCACCAACTTGGTTTATATAATTTAGATGCACTTCATAGCTGTTGCTGTCTTCATATAAAACAAACTTTATTTTGAGATTAAAAGTTCATTCTTTATAGTAGGGAAGCAGTGACATACACTATCTCAAGTAACTGAAGCATAATCAAATTCTTAATCAAATTCCCAAAGAAATATATTAGATTTGTAATTTTGATTTGTGATATTGAATATCCAAAGCATTACGTGGTCCTTTCAGCATGCTCAGGCTTGATGCTGGAGAAATATCTCCCCCCTTAATCTGATAAATTTGTTATTAGCCGCCAGTACACTTGTTTATTTGCGATTAAAGGAAATTGGCTCCACATACATCAGGATGGGAGGCTGCGAGATGAAACAGCGAGCTTCTGAAACTGGATCACATCTGAGACGGTGTTCAAACTCTCATCCTCTCACAAGTGCTCACTTTAATTAAGGTTTGCAGGGATGAGGACAGCATTGATGATATGTGAGCTGCGCCTTCGTGCTTCGCTCGGCTGATCCCTCTGCCGATCCCTCTGCTCCTATCAGGCATCAAGCATCTCCTGTTTGTCTCCTGTTTGCCATACCACGCATTTACCTCTGATTAACTAAGCTGAAAAACATGTTGTCCTCAGAAATGTAGAGCATGGAACACAAAGTGAGTGATGGAGAGCAAAAGGGAAGGAGCACCTAATTAAAAATTACATGTTAGATTGAGACAACAATGATTTATTATTTGAAAAGAAGGACAACCTCTCTCACAAGCTGATTCATCACATTGAACTAACTATGGGCTAATGGACTAACTATTAATCACATCAAGACATTTGTTCACAAAAGAGCCTCAGTGATGAAAATGAACATAGTACATTTACTAAAATCCTTGAGCTCCTTCTAGAGAAATATTGTTTACAGACTTTACAAATAAAACATATGACAAGCTTTTAAACTATGATGCACTGATTTATATATGTAGCTCCACCTTAAGCAAATACAACAGCAAAATGACACTTAAACGTGAATGAATCAGTAATAATAATCCAATATATAATATAAAACAGTGTATATGTATGTAGAAAGGCAATACATATATTGCCTTTATTCAAACTCGAGAAATCAGTGATGTTGAGTAATTGTTTAAGATGACTTAAAAAGGTACAAAATATTAAAAGATACAAAATAAAATAAAACAATCAATTAAAACCACCATATATTAATACAATTAATTAAAACACAGGAAATGGATACGGAAGACAAATCAGTTTAAATCGTGTGTAATCATGGATTTAAACCGACCGAGGGTTAACAAAGGGTTTATAGGACGCGTTTTTTTTAAGAATTCCAGGTGGCACAGAGCATCGAAGCTAAAAGCAGATCTGCCAAACTCAGTGGAGGCATGTGGGACGTGGAAGTCATTAGACCGAGTTTGATACGGTCCAGAACACCGGTCCAGCGTAGAGGCACTGGCAGCTTCCCAACAAGAGCGTTGTAGATAAACAGATACAAATGCCTATATCACGTGTTTCAGATAGAGAAGACCACCCAACCTTTCCACAGAGTATGCAATGAAGAGTAGAGCTACTGTAAGCATCACTAGTGATAAACCTAAGGCCAGAGTGATAAGGGTCTAAGAGTGGGAGCAGAGGCATGCCGATTAATTACATCACTATAATCTAGAACAGAAAGAAAAACGACATAAAGCTTTTTGCAACCAATACCTCTTCCTTTTAGGGAACAGCATAAACTTGGTTTTATGTGCATTCAATATGAGTTTAGGATAATTAAGTACAGTGTGGAGAACGTTAAAGGAGTGTTGCAGATCTTCCACAGTGAAGTGAACAGAGGCGGCAATACAATATATATTGTTATTGATCAGTGTACAAATGTGCATGGCAGTTAGTTAGAGGTGAATTGAAACCCAGAACTGAATCTTGTGGAACGTCCTTAGTTATCAGTAAAAACTCTGCAACCAAGCGCAAGCACTTGAACTAAAACCAACATTACTTAATTTATGTAAAAGCATAAAATGATAAATTGTGATCTAATGCCTTGGAGAGGTCCCCAAAGATGGTAGCACAGTGCTTTTTTCTCATGCAAAGCATTGACAATGTCATTTACAACCAAGGTGATGGCAGAAACAGTGCTGTGTTAGGGCCTGGGTCTTCGGGGACCAGGGGGCAAAACAGAGAGTACCTAGAGAGACTTGTGAAAACTCATGGGAAAGCTGAATAGTCAGACCAGTGTGATATCTGACTAGTTTGTTTGATATATATTTGCAGGCTACAGCCAGTGACAGCTGAAGCAGCAAGAGAAGCTAATGAAGAGAGAGATGTAGGGGAGGAGGAGCGGGACAGCAGCCAACAAGCTGCAGAGAGCCAGTTAGGGCAGAAGCAACAGGTGAGGTTGACAGCAGACAGAGATAGAGCCGTGTATGTTGTTTATTTGTCTCATAATACTTGGCAATTAAAATTTTTGCAGCGGAGCATTTATATACAGTATTATACACAGTATATATAATGATACTTCTACCCCTTATGGCAGTGTTGCCATTAGAGCTGTGGGTGGGTGGGTGGCGCCCTCTGTCCATACTTCCTGATGATTGGCCTGATTGGTCTATAGATATCTGGATCCCACCTTTTATCCACCACTCAAATATACATCCTGTATGTTATTTTTTACATATTGAATTGAGCATTTCAGTAAAATGAATGTTTTTTGGAAAAGGCTCTACAGCGGTGTTGAATGCTAGCAGAGATAACAGAATGTGACCGAGGGTGGGGTGTGTGTGCCCTTTGAGTTTTATTTTTTCATCTCTACAGTTCATTCTGATCCAGAGTTATCATCTGCAAAGAAAGAAAACCTAATCTAAAACTTTGGGGGATGATCGTTAACCTTTTGCGGAAACATTTTTTCATTAACTGTAATTTAATATGAAAGAAACACTGCTGGGAAAGATCATACAATCACGAACAAGGACATCCACCAACAATAAAAAAAACTGTTATCTGGTGTCCTCTGGTGCCTGTGGTCACTTTAAATGTGTAGAGAAGTTTTAACCCTTGTCACTCTTTTTAAGGTCACACAAAGGCAACTGGATACCTGAGGTCACGACCCCCGCTTTGACTGACAGCGAGTGTAAGATGACACTGCATGCGGATGAGGAAGTGTGTCCTGTCAGCTTTCCCTTGTGACACCGCAGCGTCAAGAAGTGCCAGGAGGACTTCTAGTTTTAGGGGGCAGTAAATATAAAGCTTCCACCTGAGCCACAGATCACCTGTGAGGAGAACAAAGACACACACCTGGTGGTAAGAACAAAAACTAATTACTCTTATTTATTCCTTTACGTTGATTCTGAATTTTGCACAATTTCATACTAACGTGGGTGAGTTTTTTTAATAAGAATTTTTAATCTGTTTAATCTCTCTACAATGTTTACAACGCTCGTCCTCCATCAGCAAAAAGGATGGTGAGTGTTTTCTGATTTTCTATCAAATGAAACGTCCTGGAAAAAAAAAAAATATATATATATCATATATATGATAAATCCTGTGAATTGTGTTTCTGTGTTGTACAAAATAGTTCAAATCAAGACCCCGTATCTTTTAGCCACCGCACCAGAACTAACCAATATGTTTGTGTGATGAAGTGTGTCTCGACTCTTGAAAGGTCACTGCCTTTTCAAGTCACAGTGAAACCCGCACCGCATGATCAGTCCTAAACAATGCACGTCACAAATAGCTGTCGGCACATTTGCATGCAACCCTGAACTTTTATTTTCTATAAATGTAACTGAATTGTCATTGTCACACCGAACCCTCATTTTTTCCACTTTCCTTCTTTGCACTTGCTGCGAAGACTTGTTGTGTGCAGATACTTTGACTCCTAGACAGTCGTTAATTCACAGAAAGTACTTTCTGAGAAGATGCACTCATTAGTAAAACATTAGTACAACTCCTGCAGCACACTCACTCAGTGGCAGGAAAGGAGAGGGTGCAGCTTCATTTGATATCCTTGATTTGATTTTATCCTCTCCAGCTTGTTGAGAGACCTGAGACTGTCTGATGAGGATAAGTTGATTTAAGGAGTAAAGCGATGGCAAGAACTCAGTTTTCAGTTGATGACGGTGGTCTAATTTGTACCGTATTGTATTACCATGTGAATGGAAACTACAGGTACGAGTGCCTATTGTTTCCCCACCGGGTTACAATTTCATCAAAGGATAGCTGGGAGACGATGCTCCCCCATCGCACTTACTGCTGTACTTTCTGAAAAGTTGAAGAAAGAAGATTTTGAGATCAACATTGGCTTTAACCACTGACTTTAAGAGGCCTCCATTCTGTTCATTAGGCTCACTTCACATTTGTTGATTAGTGCAAGTTTTAATGACACTGCTGACTGTGAGAGTCAAGAAAACAGGAATTACTGTTACACACTGTAGAAAGAACAGACTCTAGACCACGAGCAATAATCTATTTAAGGAGTTTGGATTATCTTTGATGTTGCTGAAAAGCTTCTATCTTCTAAAAGTTTTTTTTAGGAACTATGAATAAAAGCTTTGTGTAGCAAATATTAGTGACTTTACAGCCGTGCTCCAGTTTCCCAGACAGCGTTTACATCAAATCATAATCACAACAGTGACAGTGGCGGTATATCAGACTTTGTCCTTAAAAATACAGAAGTGCCTGAAAACAAAACAAATATAGATTCCTCTCATCTGCCAAAGACTGTTGCTCAGTGTTATTAAACCCACATTTAAAGGATATAATGTTACAGTATATTGTCAATGTGCAGTATTTTCTGTCTTGAGTCGTCAGACGACGCGAACGCTTGCTCACGAGTTGTTAACGGGGGAATCTCGACCGTATTTACCAGCCATCCCATGTTAGGTGATCGTGGCATTAGGCATAGCTAAATGCTAACATGCTGATGTTTAACACAGGTGTAATATTTATCACATTCACCATCTTAATTTACCCTCCCAGCGTGCTAACATTAGCCAATTAGCACTGAACACAAAGTGAGTGTCATTAGTTTTGCAGGTACTGTATATGGTCATAACCAAAGCTTGGTCAAAGTACAAACCATGAATATCTGCACCAGATCTCATGACAGTCGACGTAATAGTTGTTGGTGAATGGTGGCAAACCGGGATATTTCGCTGGCTTTGACCTGCTGGTGGCACTAGATGAAAAGTCGTTGGGATTCATCCTCTGGGGAGCATGAATGTCTGTATAAAATTTGAATCCACCAGTCCATCCAATTGTTGTGAAGATATTTCATTTTGGACGTGGAAGTGTTGGGCTGATTAACATTACCATCCACAGAGCCACAAGATCAGTGTGGAGAGAGCCACGCTGACAGTGTGGCTTTGTCGAAGAAGAATGGTAAATGTTTTAATAAGAGACAGGAAATTAAATGAACAATAAGTGCTGATTCACATCCGAGTAATGAATGGGAGTTTAAAAATATCCAGTGAGTGATTTTACTGCAGCGGTGTCAAATGAAAACTCACGATGCACGCAGACTGTGACACTTCAGGGTAAACATCCTCATGTTGGCGGAAGAGGTTGTTCTCTTGAATAGTACATCATAACACACACAAGCTAGTCTGTGTGTGAAAACAGATGACCAACAAAAGAAATAATAAACAGAAACCTTGATCGAGAGGCGGCGGGGGAGGAGGATAATATTCTTCCACTTCTCCCACCTGCGTAGAGTGTGAAACAAGGCTGCAGCTGCGACAGATGTTTTATTGCTTTTTTCTTCAAATGATATTTTCCCTGGAGAACAACCAGGACACCAACAAGTGAGACACAGCACATTTTTATAATGATCAGCATGACGCAAAGCAGCAGTCAGACTTGATATAGGTAATACTTAGAGTACTGGCCTTAAGCAATATTTTTTATTGTGCAGCTACCAACTCTTATTCGCAGCAATTTCCAGTACAATGTTAAAACCAGAATGACACATCAAAACACACAAAAACGTGCTCGTGAACAGGCTAAACTGTTGCTAATGACCTGGAGAAACATTAAGAAAACAATATTGTTAAAAATTTTATTTTTTTTAAATTATTTATCTCAGTCTCTCTCTTCCCACAGACGCACAGAGGCAGCGTGAGACCGTTCGTCAACTTCAACGCCAAACACGATGCAGAGACCCTCCATAAGGCCATGAAAGGATTCGGTCAGTTATATCTCAAAATGAATGCCTTCCCCCCACTGCTGTTTACTCCTCCACTAACCTACTGTGTTATACAATATTTCATACAAGAACGATGAACATATCTCCAAAAGCTAAAATCCTGCGCACGGTGGAAAGTATTTATTTCTTTACTTGCGAGATGCCAGAAGTCCCTCCACCTTCTGGAGGGTTTATGTTAATACATGATTTAAGTTGTGTGAGTTGCATATGAACCAGTGACTCCCCAACGCCCTCAACAATATCGTCACTTCGTCCCACATTTAAGCTACATTAGGTTTATTTGCATTTACCCACAAGCGACTGTTATTCAGGTTTGCTTCTCTCTAAATCCAGTACAACAATAAAACACAGTAATGACACCAAGTTTGAAACTTAAACTGTGTAAGAAAACATCCAAGCATACGTCACGTTGCTATGTTATGTCCACAAAATGTTCTGCAAGAAGACAGTAATGAGCACTTACTGTGCCATCGCCAAACATGGAGACAAAATAGAAAATAAAACCTTCTATAATATGAGCTGGTGAACAATCTGAAATGGATATAATGGTTTGAAATTTTTGTAAATAAATAAAAAATAATATGGAGATAAATGCAGGCAATATAGAAGATGGTCTATTTTAAGTGAAGTTATATGTGAGGGTTCATTGGTATATTGAGGTTTTATGTCTCCAGTCCTGGTCTGCTATTCCAACATTTCCACTCATGTTATCAGTCTAATCTCACGTAATGATCAATTCCAAACAGCTTTTAATGACATTTTAGTTGTTCCACACCATGATGAGTCAGACATTAAGAAGAAATGCAGCCTCCTTTTCACTTCAGTGAGACCCCCTGTGCGCAGCAGGGTCCTGATGCAGATGGGCTTCATCAAGAACCACAGGGTTCTCCCACAGAAGAACCCACTCAGGCTTAACTTCTGTCATAATGTAATGTCACCGAGCGGTGCATTCTGTTGGGAGACACACACTGTTTGGGTCTTCGTTTACCTTGCAATATGCCGAGAGAGAGAGAGAGAGGAGAAAACAGCTGTGTGATAACTTTTGTGGAGTTAGAAAAGGCTGCTTCAAATGAGAGTAAATCGTCGTGTAAATTCTGATAAGCCTTTCAAATATACTTCCTCTTTTGTTTTTCCTTTTCTCACCAGCTCCTGTAGCGGCGCAGCGTCTTGTTTGTGTGTGTTTTGGTGGCTGTAATTACTCCTGTCCATACTCGCCATGAAGAGCTCTGTTCCCTAATGTGATTTTAATTTTAATTTAAACCCTTTGGACTGTCAGCATCCCATATTAAAGTACTCATGCTTTACCTGACATGCTCACTCCTACAAAAACCAAATGTTAACCTCTTAACCTTGTGCACATTTGGAGGAGATTAATAATTCTAATATTTTTTACTTTATAATCCCCTTCTGTTATGCAGCTTTTGTCTTGGCTGAAAGCTGTTCACCTTAATATGGATTAATTTTGAATAGTTTGGCCTCTGATCTCATTTTCTTTCCTCATGTGATCTAATTTTAATTGCGGAGATACACAACAGGAGACTGCAATCAAAACATCCTTCTGCACTCATTAGTGTGAGTCAATGGGCCCGATGACAATCGCTGAGTTAAAGGTGTTGTCCAGGTGTTTTTACGACTGATGCTTCCCCCTGCTACATATAACTCCACCGACCACCAGCGCCGTTTCTTCCCCTTTATCTCCTACTCATACTCTCTGTTAGTTTAGCGCTCTCACAATTTAACGTGCAATTAAATAAATTAAAAGCGAGAAGCACGATGTTGACCTAAGCAGGCCTCTGTCTATAGTGTGGCTGTCATTACAGATAAGAAAAGCTCTGTGCTGTAATTACCTCGGCAAGAATGCACCATTTCCAATCCCTCGGGGGAAAATACCATGTGCTGCTCTTAAGCTTGTTTGTCCATCTGAGCCGTTTTCTCAGAGGTTCTGGTGCCTTTCAGGAGCTATTGATTATAAGATCATGGGCCTCGTCAGGCATTTTCAATCCTGATCGCTTTCTTAAAGAGCTTGGCCCTTCATATGGGAGTATATTGCAAAGTGTCGGTTATTCTCAATCAGATTTAGCCAGACAGGAAGCTGCTGCTAGATGTTGGATGTCAACAGAAAAATGCTTTATTAGCCCGTTTGGAATAAAAAGCAGATTTGTTTTTGTCTTTATCCAGATGTGTTTTTATGACGCTCACGGAGCAGCTGTCCATGTGTTAAAGTATGTAATGCTTTATTTGATCTCTGGTCCAGGTACGGATGAAGACGTCATCCTCATGCTCCTGGCGGCACGCAGCAACGATCAACGCCAGCAAATTAAGGCAGCGTACAAGAAGGCCTACGGAAAGGTAAATGAAACAGAGAGCTGACGGCAACCAGCGGTCACATGGATGGATGGTTACAGGTCATGTCGGCGACACTCAATCCAACAGCCTCAGGACACAGAGATGTCTGAAGTGTACCTTATTAGTTTTTCTACCATCTCCTTATTCTTTTCTTAAAGGATGAAGCTGGTGATATTCTTTATTTCTCTTATTCTCAACAATCCCATGAAAACCAACAATCTGTCAGTCCGGCTCACAATGCTTTCCTTCTTCCTCGCTCTGGCTCTCAGCTCCGAGATTATTGGTTGTAGTTGTAGACATTGTAGTTTTTGGCGAACACTATTCAAGGAGGAGAAAATGCTGTGCTTTGTTGGGGACGACGCTCAGTTGAGCTCAGCGCAGTCAGCTACACACCAAATGGACATTTTAACCGTCCCCTGTCCTTACCGTCCTATCACGCTGTCAAGTTAGTTTATGACCACCTGTGGATTGAAAGCTGCAAGTTAATTTGCTTTCCATGGAGGTTATTGAAAAGCATTCTGGCAAATGTAATTGCTTCCTGAAGTATAAATAGATGAAGCAGTTTGAGAGATATGAGCTACATCAGAAAAATCACCAAGTAGCCCCTGGTATATCTCTGAGTATCGCCGTGTTCTGCCAAAATGAGCCACAGAATGAGCCTATTTACTTTTATCGCCAGTTCAGAGCGCTTTTTATGACACGTCATAAAATGCAATAATTGCAACAGACACATGCTTAAACTGCTCATTTGCAATAACATCTGAAACCAGAGCTGGTGCCAGAAAGTTGAGACAAAAACTGAAATGCGATCGTGTGACAGTCATATCTGTCAGGAGTGAGTGCTCCTGTTTCTCTGCTCAGTTTCTTTTCAGTGTCTGTAACTCACAGTTTGTCTGTTTGGCTCTGTAATGCACCTTTTGACAAGTCTTTTTTTCTTTTTTTCTTTATTGGAATTTGATTTGATTTGGCTTTTAATAGATGTGAAAACCTAAACAGGAAAATGGAAAAAGAGAGATGGATTGTGATTGTTGGACTTGGTCTGTAAATACGAGGAGCAGTGGCCAAGCACAGTAGATCATAGGATCCCATGGGTGTTTTGTATATACACACAAATACACACAGACATACACACACACACACACACACACACACACACACACACTCACACACTCACACACTCAAATAACGAAGAAATATGCAATTACTCACTGTTTTCATCAGTGTCAGCTCCCAGCAGTGCCCAAATATGTGATTCACTGCAATGCAGAAATCAATTCAGATTAAACTGTCTGTGCCTGATTCTGAATGTTCTGTTTGATGAGGTGGTAGTTTAAAGAAATATTGCACAGTTTCTGCAGGTTATTATTTTATTAACCTGAGAGTTCTCTTCTTATTTTCACATTTAAACCGTCTTATACAAAGTTTGGATGAAACTACAACAAACAAACTTTGCGTCTCATGTTAACAAACATCTGAGGATCGTAAGTTTAACTTTGCATTTAGCATTTTCATTGAATTGATTATTATGACTATATAGATATATATCATGACTTTAAAGGCTTTAGGATGAACTAACTCAACAGCACCAGTCTTTCTGGTGACTTAAATGTTACAGCATCTAAATGATGCAGAGATAAAAATCTGTACAAACAAAATTACTATTGTTTTTGTTCCTGTTGTCATGGATCATTATGTGACCACAGGACTTGGTCAGCGTGCTGAAATCGGAGCTCGGCGGGCTGTTGGAGAGTCTGATTGTGGCCTTGATGACCCCACCTACATCATACGATGCTTCTCAACTGCACATGGCTCTCAAGGTGACTAAAGAAAGTTTCCTCAGAGGCTCCACTTATTCCAGATTTCAGGTCTCACATGCGAATGAGATGATAAGACTTTATTTTGTGGTGTTTTTACACAAACTTTCCAACACTTTTTTAATGTTAAAACTTTAAACTGAGCAACAGACCTTTGTCAAAGCAAACATTTCAACTTGTCATTGCTGTAAAAACAATTGTGAGATAATAACAGTGATGAAGGCTCCTTTCTATTTAAGCCGTGCCAATAAATCAGCAGTCACAACGCCAGCGCCCCGGCACTGGAACACATAAATGGAACTCGGTCATTGTTGATGGTAATAGTTAAACCTGTGATTGACGAGTTTAAATGTCTGCCGTGCGACAGGTCTGTTTCATGCTGATATGCCATTTAAAAGATGTCCAAATGTTTGGCCTTTGTTCCACTAGTTCCACCGTTTCTCCAGTGGATTTTCTCACAAAGATTCTGTCCTCAGTCTCTCTGGAAAACTAAGATAAATGGGCGTCTACTACTATACTGCAGGATGGATAAAGCTCCACTATAAATTTTCATGTTGACAGTGAATCAATCAACTCATGTTTGATGTGGAAGGAGAATTATCACCAAACCATGAAGCTCTACTGAGCTTTGTAGACTATTTTTAGCTCATATTTTTGGTGTTACAGCCTGTAGATTTACTGCCTGGTTCAGTCTAACCACTCTCATCCACCCCCCCACCCCCCCCAACTGTCAGTTTCTCTCAGCAAAAGGAAAAAAAAAAAGCTTTAATAAACCCACATTACACAAAATACACAGCTTAAAATCAAGTGAGTATCAGACCTAAATTTCGTGTGGATGGAATTCATTTCCAAACACGTCACATGCCTCAACAGTTTTATAAGGTGAAAATATATCAGGCTGTGAGTTTGTCAGCTCGATGCAGAGCTCTTCTGTTCCCAAGTGGCCAAAACAATCACAAAACATGATTTATAATCTCAGGACTTGATCATTTTTGAAAACGATAAAAAAATAATTTTAGCTTTTAGCGGTTCCAACAGCCCCAGCTGCTCGTTACACTTTGACATCTTGCAAATGACTGAGACGATTCTCAGGGTTGAAAATTGAGAACAAAAGCAAGGACGCAAACCAATTAATTTGAGGCACAAAAGATTCGTATCATTATTAAAAAAAAATAATGATAATTTTTTTGACTTCAGGATCAAAACAAGAATACCTCATGGCACCACGTTACAACACTCTTTGCTTATTGAACACATTTATCCTACGGTGCAAGTGTTGGATTGTTACAGTCGATTTCAGGTTAAAGTTGAAGACGACCTGCAGGAACTTTTCTCTCTGTATCTGCTCCAAATCTATTTAAGGCCAGATGTTAAGGATGTTGTTTTTCATTAGAGCTACTCCTCAGATACAACCTCATCTTACTGACTGTGGAGAGGTGAGACTAATGGGATCACCTAGGAGCTGGCGTTGTGTTTTATATTTTTCTCCACATCCATCTCCTGCACTTCTCATGTGGCTCAAATGAGTGTCAGCATTGAGCTATGACATCATTTTATGTTTTTGAGATGTAATACACTTACTTCTCCTGCGTTTTATGTCTCACTCAAGGCTCATAAAGTTTGCAGGAAATTACATTTAGCAAACTCCTGAGTCGTCTTAAAGGTTACAGTGGAACTTTTTTTTTTCCAGCTCTCATTATTTTTTAAACACATTCACATTTGAATTTCCAGTGCAAATGAAATGTTCAATCAAAGTCAAGGCAAAGCAGTGAGGACCTTGTCTCAGTGTTCCCAGCACATCCACTGCTCCATTTGTTTGGTATGTCAGACATTTTCTCTGCTGCAGGTTAATCACAGCAAAGAGGAGAGAAGCTCAAAGCTAACTCTCTTTAGTACTGAGCCCATTCATTCTTTAATGAATTAATCCTCCGCAGCGAAACAAACTGCTTCTTATTTTCTTCAAATATTTGTTCCATTTTCATAAAACATCTTTTAACTGATGCATTACACATTAACCATCTTATAGGACAAAATAATAAAAGATTAGTTGAGCTATGAGAACACGCTGCCACAAAAACCCATGTTGTTTCATGCTGAGTTCCTCCACATATTGCGTTTGGTTCCCAGGGCGTCGGGACCGATGACGAAGTGCTGATTGAGATCCTCGCCTCCAGGACTGGCGAACAGATTAAAGAAATCATCAAAGTGTACAAGAAAGGTGACTTACTCACACTAAAAAAACACATAGCATGTTTACTGTGATTTGTTATTGGTGAAACGGTGGTTCAGGCACAAAAATGACTCTTGTAATTTACTTGTACATGAATTTACATCAAGAGTCTGACGATGTAACGGCAACATCTGAGATCTGAGTTTGGCTTTTCAGCATGTCGCCATGTTAAGTAGGTTTTAGAGCGACTTGTTGTGATGGTGTCTTCACTGTCAAATGGTTTTATATAGTGCAGAAGAGAACTAGCTGAACTGAAAGATTACAGTGGCCGTAAAGGCTTAACATACTGTATATATTTTGTAATATTGACAATATTTTCCCCAGAGTAGAAGATGAGCAGCACTTCTGGTAATGAGTGCACCTTTCATACTTACACCTGTCACTACAAGAATGTCTCTAAAATACCAGCTTTAAATTGCAACAAACCACAATGGAAAATAGTGTGTGACAACAAAAGCCCAAAGGCAAAGAGGCCAGTTTATTTGATCTGGATAAAAGAGAGGGCCTCTCCGTCTGTTGGCCGACTAATCAAATCTCTGCTGTCAGAGATCCTGCTGCAAAACAGAGGACGGCCCACCAGGGTCGATTGCAACCATTAGTGCCTCTTGTGAGCAAGAAGCGTAAACAATCTTCTGCCCCTCTTCTCTTCTTCCCTCCAGAGTTCGGAGGCAAGCTGGAGAAAGATGTCTGCGGTGACACCTCAGGGCACTATCAGAAGCTGCTGGTGATCCTGCTCCAGGTAGAGAGGGGCGGGGGGGTGAACGCTGCTGGAACGGCTTATGTTTCCTTTTCCTGATAACGAGAACCTTTGGCGATACCGTTACAAACTCCAGAGGTGAAGGTGTGGGCTGGGGAAGGGGAGGGGGGCCGGGGCTGACACCACAATACACTACAGCTGGTTTCTCGAATGTGTTTTGGTTTACAGGTGGAAATGTAATCCTCGTGGTCCTGGGACACTTGGTGGATAGTGTAATCTTCAGGGGTTACCTGGGTTGAGAGAGGCTCTGAGCTCACCGTGTTTCCATCCACACTGACCCACTTTTGCTTTTCTGTTTCTCCACCTGTGCGTCTGTCCTTCTACCTGTGTGTGTGTGTGTGTGTGTGTGTGTGTGTGTGTGGTTGGTCGTTTGTCCGGCTGCTCAGGGCAGCAGGGAGGAGGGAGTAGATGAGGGCAAGATTGAGAAGGACGCTAAGGTAAGAACCAAGAACACGAGAGAAACAACACCAACAATAACACAGTTTGTCATTTCATTTGCTTCGTGTTTATGTCAGACATTTTCTAACATATTTAACAAATCATTTTATTTATAGGGATCCCTGTTACACAATAAACCCCTGTGTCACAAAGACACTTTACATGTAGCTCCTCATTCATTCAAAAAAAAGTAATAAGTAATCCAACCAGAGATTACATTTGTCACCACAACATAATCAGGAAAACAATTCTGTAATATATAAACGTCATTTCCAGGAGACAGGGTTGAATATGGATGTAAATTCTATAGTGATTGTGGGCTGATCACTCCCTAAAAAGTGCAGTGAAATATTTGCAGTGAGGGAATCTACTGTCTCAGTTTAATGTCAAAATGCAACATCCAGCTGTTTTAAAAGTGAAAACACAGGGAAAAAAAAATCCCACGCAGCAGGTAGATGACCGCTGCACAACGTAACGGATTTATCTTAATTTCACCATCGTCTTTCAAATGTCAGCGTGTCGAGGATTTGATCGTGTTTGCGAGCTGCTCTCCAAAGTGCAGTGAAGCTAAAGGCCAGGAAAGCTTTGAGCGAGTCTCCTCAGAGGAACAGTCAATACAATAAATATATTAACCTTCAGGAGTGGAACATCTTGTTTCTTATAAACCATCTCCTCATTACTGGTATTTAGCTGTGGACTGGGATCCAGCCCTGCTCCACTTGCAACAGCATTACTGCCGAGTTAAACTGCTCTGGGATCAAATGAGCAGAAATCCATTTAAATAATAAATGTATCTTATAAATGTACTGTTATCCATTTATTTAATCATATCATTAAATGTTAGTTATCTGATCTTGAGAGAAAAAAAAAACTATCCTAGAAGTTTAGGGGAAAGGAGCCGGGACCCAGAAAGTCTTTCTAAAGCAAAGACAAACAAACAAAACAAACTTTTCTGTGCTGTTTTGGCAAAGTACAAGGTCTTACATCAGCGCTGTCATTTCTGCTCCGTCTGTGCCTTCCAATAAGTCATGTCACACACGAGGTTGCTGTGTGTGTGTGTGTGTGTGTGTGTGTGTGTGGTGTGTGGTGTTGTGTGTGTGTGTTTGTGTGTGTGTGTGTGTGCCCTCACAGGACTTGTATGCTGCTGGTGAGGGCAAGTTTGGCACAGACGAGGAAAAATTCATCACAATTCTTGGCAACAGGAGCGCAGAGCATCTCAGAGCAGGTGAGTTTGTTTGAGCCAGTGCGCTCCAGTGTTGAGGGTCGTTTCCCTCCCGTTGACGAGAGCAAAAATCAAAAGTTGCAAACAAGATACCATCACCCTCCACTCACGTTATACTTTATTTCACCTAAATAATTCAGCATGAGTGACGTAAACGACTTGGCATCATTGCTACTGACAAATACACCGGTGAAAATACTTCAAGGAGAAGAATACAGCTGGGGATTTCAGTTCATTTTTATTTATTTTTTTCACACAACAAATCAGCAGCAAGAAAAGTGAGGTTGCAGCAGAGACCAAAACTTGTCGACAGTAAACAACTCAAAACTGACAGAGAACATGACAAAAAGAGTAGAGAGTTTGTAGAGTTTATTAAAGTGTGATGAACGGCAGCCGTCCCGAGGGCCACAAGTGCTCGCTGCAAGAGAGCAGCCGGTCAGACTCCACTCACTGAAAAATTACAGGAGAGACACACAAGCAGCAAAAAACATCCACCGTCTGACGATGAAGCTAAAGGGGGAATGTGAGTCGGCACTGAGTGGCTGTTAGAGGAACTACATATTAACGTACTGTACTTCAGCTAAACAACACAAGCCCCTTACACATATCACCAATCCAAAAAGAATGGCACACTTTTAGACACAAATAGACATGGGTCTCTTATTTTGAATGAGCACTGGAGAGTCTGGAAGTTAAATTATTTTGAAAGTGCTTGGATTTTTTTTTGATTATTTATTTATTTATTTTTACTTTACGTCAGTAAACGGACGGCGTGCTGCTGTCTGCATGCGTGCAAAAGACCACATAGTCTCTCTCTCTTTTTAAGTGTCTGTGAGCTTGTGTAAAGCTGCTAGTTCTCATTATAAAAGAGAGTGTTGTAACAGTAATCAACCTTGAGCCATGTCTCTGCCGTGTTGGGTCTTTGATTTTAAGGGGAATTGGACGTAGAAAGTCCTTGAATCAGGCAAATAAATCACAACAAGAAACACATTTGAATTGGAAAATAAAACCTTCAGTTAACATAAATGAAATATTAATAAAAGAATTATTGCAGTCATGATTAAATGAAACAAATATAGTCTGATGAAGTGACACTATTTCTTTTGCTTTTTTAGAGACAATAAGCTGCTTATTCCCCTCGACTGCAGCGTGTGACGTGTCAGGCAGGAGAGCGTGAACGTTGGTCGTGTGTTTGAACAAATGACTGTCGACTGTTCTCGATTGTCGCTGTTGTCTTTCTTGTGTCTCCTGCATCACTCCGACATTCAATCTTTCAGCCACTTGGCCGTGAAGAACTCATCATCTCAAGGTGACATCGGTCAGTGACCACGGTTTACTCTGATGTCCTCTCCCCGGATCTCAACCCAGTAGAGTTTGTTTAAAATGTGGAGGCATATTTCTAGGGCCACTATAATAAGCCTTATTTGCACTTTTCTTTTATTCATCCCTTCATAACATGTGCAACCTGTAGGTGTGTGTGTGTGTGTGTGTGTGTGTGTGTGTGTGTAGAAGCACCCATATACTCTTGACCAAGATGTGGCAGCATTATTCAAACATAAAAGTCAGGTTGATCTTTTCGATACTGGAGTGGCTTTATTCCACCGCTAAGACAACATTAAAGTGTCGCTGTGGTTGTTTTGTTCTCTCCAGTGTTCGACGCCTACAGGAAGCTCTCTGGCTCTGATATAGAGGACAGCATTAAAGGAGAGACCACTGGGAATTTGGAGAACCTGCTGCTGGCTGTTGGTAAGACCCGTGATTTATCTGGATGACACTTGACTGATTGTAAACAGGAGACACAGAGAAGTGACGCCATTTCTTTTTCTCTGATGTCCAAGCTAAAAAATTGACAGACAAAAAAAAAAAACACTTGACAGACAAAAAGAAAAATCAATTTCAGATTCAAATGATAAATGTTCAGTTTTACACAGAAGATTGTTGGTGCCTTGTGTTTTTTTATTTCCTTCACAGTGAAATGTGCCAAGAGTGTCCCAGAATATTTTGCTGAAGGCCTGTATAAATCTATGAGGGTACGTATCATGTCCCTTATGTGTCCCTCTGTAACCTTTCTTATCCTAACATACGTTTTCCAGTACAGAGAATGCAAAACAGTTGCAAAACTGGTTGTAAACAAGACTCCATGTCACTTTGCCCGGCCCAGAAATAGTCCAGCACATAACACACTTCTTTTTTTACATTTCTTTATTGTTCATTTGTGAGCTGTATACAGTGGGTGCTGGTCGGCGAATAGTTTTAACATTTACATAGAATAGCAGTTTAGCTGTTTCCTCCTGGGATTTTATCCAAGTAAAATGTGACAAAGGAGCAATCAACTTCTATTTCAAAACTTGTTCAGTATTTCTTTTCAGTAATCTCTTGGAAAAAATAAAGATCAAGTCCAGAAAATCTGAAAGTAATTAATTTTTTTTTCTGCCTCCAGCAGTCATCCTGTCCCTGATAACAACTTTGAATTCATTTTCAATGATGGAGTCACAAGATTTGATTTCATGTTCTCCCAACAGAGCTCTCTGTGAGACCTGGGATCAATGGTCTTAGTCTGTCTTTTCCATTTATCAATCCGATCGTCTTCAAATATCTCCAGGCCTGATTCTGTCTTCCATTTCTGTTTACCACTCTCTGTTTGTACACTAAATGTGAAGCTATAGCTACAGCCAGCAGCTGGTTAGCTTAGCTTCGCAATAAGACTGGAAACAGGAGGAGAGAGCTAGCCTGTCTCTGTCAAAACGAAACAATTGATCCAGCTGCAAAACTTCTCATTTAACTTTAAGCAAGAAAGTGAATTAACAGATTCTAACCCAGAACTGTAGACTTGATATGCAAATGGAAATACTACTTACTCACTTTAATATCATACAGAAATTTCTGGAAATACATACAAAATCGTCACCTGTACCGAGCATGCATTTGAAAATGATTGCCAAAAATATAAAGGACTATACTGTGTGAGATATTGTGTTGTAGTTTATGTCACTGCACACAAGGGAAAAATTAAACTGTTGCACCTAAAAGAAATAATAAGATAATACTTAATGAGTTTATAACCACAGCTGCTGAAGTTGTGTTTTGTGTTCAGCGAGCTGGAACTGATGACGACACCCTGATGAGGATAATGGTGTCGCGGAGCGAGGTGGACATGTTGGACATCAGAGCCAGCTTCAAAAAGATGTATGGCGCGTCTCTGTACAGCACCATCCAGGTAAACTCTGCTCACTCAAACACAAAAACTTTCTATCAGAACTCCCTCAATAAGATGTGATGTCATTCCCCTCACATTCCTCCTCCTGATGTTCCGCTAAACGTCCCCATCCATCCCTCTGTAGGCCTTTAAAGCACCAGATGGGTGTACTGTGGTTATGCTGCTTACACACCATTCATATCGGCGCAGTGATGGAGTGGAGATTAGTGATTTCCTGTAAATTTCTTGTTCAGCGTGATGAGATTGCTTCACCGCTCTTCCCACCAGCCCGAGTGAATTAATCTATTCTCCCGGGGCCAGATGTTCCTACAGAAGGTTATTGCCGTCCTCCCAATGGAAAATACCAAATGGCCAATATTGAAAAGATAAATAAGACTTTATGAAAGAACCTTTGAATACATGCAGTAAAATATAATAATGAACCAATGTATATTTTTACAGGTTGAGCTGAGTTCATATTTATTTTATGACAACCATCACTATTTCAAATCGCTGCTTTCTTCCATTTTTTCAATTGTATATATTATTTTATTTTTCTTGGTGACACCATTTCATTTCACTTTAATGACCTTTCATGACTATATACATATATATATATATATATATATATATATACTTATAGCTTCACTCTCTTCAAAATGATAACGGACTAGAATCTTTATTAATGTTACATCTGAGCTTTCTCTACTAAGAACGGCTTGTTTGTGTCATATAGGAGTTACTGTAATTACCAGTTCAAGTCATTGTTATGTCAGGGGAACTTGGATTTTTAATTATACTAAAGTGAAAAGGTTTATTGTTTTAATATTCCTGCCTCATCATCTTTCTACCATATTACATCTCTCCAGGCTCTTAGCAAACTCCACACCTGAGACACACAGCGAGCTCAGGAAAAAGAAACCACTCTTTTTTTTATATATATATATATATATACTTTAGTTATGAGCTGCTGAGTGAAAGACAGTGTTCACATCAGCCTCTGAGTTGTAATTCAGATGTAAGTCTGACTTATGGATCATTTTTTAGCAACTATTACATCTCCCACTTGGCAAAAAGAAATACATAAGTCTCAACAAACCAGCGGCAGAACGGCTGCAAAGCAACCTTTGCTAACAGCTGCATGTAAAGAAAATCAAAATTAACAAAATTAGTAGTTAATTTGGGCTAAATGATGTGACTAAGAGGCAGTGCAACCATATTGGAATATTACATAAATGCTAAATAAATATATATAAAGGAAAAAAATTGAAGCTCAGAGTTGAGGCTAGCTAGTTAGCTAACTGACTAGCCATGTAGCATCTCCAGCGCTGTTGAGCTAAGTAAAAGGATGAGGTTACTATTGTGTCCTGTCAGCACTGATAGTCATCTATCATTGCTATCATTGCGTGACAGCAGTGATAGATGGCATTAGAAGCAATTTGGAGTTCAGTGTCTTGCTCAAGGGCAATTCAACATGTGGAGAGGAGGAGCAGGAGATCCAGCCAGCCGAGCGACAACTGCCCACATGTCATGACAAGTGACAAGTGTGATATACAGCCGTCACTGGAAAAAAATACAGCTACAAAATATGAACAGGGCAACAAGTAACAATAATGAGGAATATATAAAAAGTGGGAAGAACAGAGGCTGATATAATTATATATTATATAATAGAATTAATGAGGGACTTCTGAAAGTTATAAGACTAATAAAAATCTTAATTATGTCTGTTGTTTTTGCAGGAGGACACAAGTGGAGACTACCAGAAGGCTTTGCTCTACCTCTGCGGCGGGAATGACTAATGCTGTTTTATGGCGTGTTGAGCAGCACTGATATGAGCCACCACGGTGCTGCGAGACTACAAAGCTACATGTGAGATGAGGTTATTGATCCACAGTTGGTGACTCTTTCTGACTATAGCTTGTTATTGATTGAATTAGTGTGAATTACACCCCTGTCATTTTGCCTTATGACATTATCTGCTGACGTTGGAGTGCATTCACTTAAAAAGTTAGTTTGTTTTTGTTTGATGTCAGACATAAATTAAACAAAACACAAAAACAAAAATCTCTAACAGTGTTTAATGAAAGTGCAGTTATGATTTTGAAATAATTAAATAAATTTGATTCGTTTGAAATGAATTTTTTTGCTTCATTTATTTAGCCCCATTTCCTGTCAACTGTACACACAGTATTAGCAGTTGTTCACCTTATTTGTGCAGAATGCTCACAGCGTTTGTTAAACGCAACTTAGAAAATACAACACTGCTGCTGAATTATTAAATTCCTACATGCGCTCCTGCTCTCATTAATTACAAATGAACTGGTGATGCAGACTTAAATTACAGGGCAGCTGTCAGCGATCAATAAATAATGGGACACTATTAGACATTTGTTGACTCTTATAAAGACATCTACTGCCTCCGTGTCCTTCTGCATGGAAGGGCCTGATGTCAAACTATGGATGGATGGGAAGTTGCACCACAGGATGGCAGCAGAGGTTAGAATGACTGTTTCTCTTCACTGTTTTCCATTATAATCACTCAAGAGATCTAAAATGAGACATTCAGCTTGGAAACGTGAAGCAAAACATTAGCACTGATGTGAAAGTGAGACTTCTGCGTTACATCATACGGAAAATAACTTGTGGAACATACTGTGCACGTCTCTTTAATTCTACATAAGATAGGAGTTTGAGGAACTTTACTTTCTATTTTCTGCTTCTTTATACTTCTACTCCGCTACATAAATATTGTACATTTTACTGCTCTACATTTCTCTGACAGGTTTATCTTTACTGACTCAGATTTTACATTGGAATTGAAAGAATTAAGATGTTATTGTATGAAATACGAAGAGCTTATATGCATTTTTAAGTTTACATTCATCATTTATCCTTATTATCACTCAGTCAACAGGCCTGTATGTCAGAAAACGAACCTAGGTGACGATTTCTAGGAGTCGCTGAGGTTCATAAACCCTCATTATGTTTAATAAACTCCTGTCTGCCAGATGTTATGTTCAAAAACCACCTGAAGGTTCAAGTTGAAAATGTTTTCATGTATTGGCATGCTTTTCCTCAGAGGCTTTCACTCCAGTTTCACCTCAAAATGACGTGCAAATTGATGTAACCTTTACTCTGTAGTTACAGCCGTGCAAGCAAGGAGCCATAATTGCATTTCTGTTGCTGTCTGAGCTTTTTTTTTATTGCAGTTAAGCTCTTATATTAATTAGTTTTAGACATGATGTGACTCAAGATGAGAAAGATGAACGTACATTTTGTTCACTGCCTAACTTTGGAGACTCAGTTTGAACAGGCAGATCAGTACTGACTGTTTGTTTTTTTTTGTAACTTTGCCAACAAATCCACCCATGCATCACGATGAGACGTCACAGGAGACTGGAAATGTCATTATTGTACCACAAAATAGACAGGACAAGTAAAATATAATGATTTCAATCAAAAATTACAATACAATAAAGAGAGAGGGAAAAGTCCAGATTCAATTCATAGAGGAAAACTCAAAATTAAGAAGGAATTGGTTTATATTTTTGATTTATGCATGTGCAATATCTGATTAGTTTTAATGCTGTAAACTGGCCTGATTGGACAAATTTCAATAATTCTTTGATCAGGAAGTCAGTCAGGACCAACTCTAATCTATGATATGTTTACTGAACCTACTGAAAATCCCAATACTTTAAAATCTTACCACTGAAAAAGTCAACAATTTACTAGAATTTGCTGTGCACAACAGGTTCCCATGCAGTGCAAGATGAACAGTGGTTTGATGTATGATGATTTCTCCATGCTTTTAATTGCAGATTTTTTAATTAACAGACTCAATGTCAGAGATTTCAGCTGTGCTATAACACAAAAATCAGTATAAGTGGTATGTCTACAGTTTGGTTGTTTTGTTGTTAATCAATGAGCATGACTCAGCGCTTGTGTGGCCAGTGGCTGTGAGCTCTGTCTGTCATAAATCACTCGTCCTCTGCGCTGGATGCTCATTTCCACTGCAGGAAGATGCTGTAAACAAGGGCGCCAGTGTCACATTTCATTTTCAAATAACAAAATATGAAGTTTATTATTTTTCCTGTTCAGTGATTTCTGTCGAGTCTCGGCTCTAATTTTGGTTGTTTACTCATCTCTGTTTTGAGGAAGTGACATTATGATTTTTGTCAGTTATAGGCCACTTTAGGCTGCACCCAGAGACCTGGTGGTGGGTGCACTTTTCTTTTCTTGCTTGGTCCAGACAGCAACACACCTATCATTCTCATTTCACGCTAACAATGCAATATTTGTGGCGTTTCATTAATTCAGGTCACTTCTTTGTAATCTCAGGAAAAGCCCTTTATGAAACAATTCACACACGTACAAAGGCATTCATACGAGCATGTAATCTGGACTGTGCGCGTACACGTAAACATTGGGCTAAATCTCCTTAGTGTCAGTAGACCTTGGGCGTGTTCTCCCTACTTTCAGCTTGACCAAGGCCCACATCTCTCAGCCAATCAGGAGCCAAGGGCAGTCAGGCCACCTGTGGCCAGTCAAGAGGGAATGAGGAGGTTTAAAGCAGCCAAGTGCTGAGCAGAAACATTTTCAACACAAGCACTTCTCACTTCTCAGCCAAACTGACAGAGCAGCTTTGCATGTTTGCAGTGTTCTACAGTGGACAGTGCCACACATTATGATCCTTGTCCAGCGCCCTTTATGTAGCAACAGGGAAAATACGGGGTTCGAAGTTGGGGTAATATGGAAAACCAAAATTGTTTCTGTGACTAAACAAGGAAACTGAAGACTAGAGGAGAACTGGAAAGTTTTTATTCATGTACATGCAGCATTTATCTAATTACATAATCAAGTGTAGTTGTGTTGGCTGTTGATAGCGCACTGATGACAACTGGTGTCACTTTTAGGCCTCTCATGGGACATTAACTGTCCATGGATGAGTGACCACATCGGTGGGTCTCAACTCTTTGGAGAGCAGAAACAGCTGACTGTGTTTTCTATAAAAGCACATGTGACCTGTGGCTGCCACAACAGAATCAAATAGCCGTACATATATCATTCCTGAGGTAATTATTTTAGTTTGTGAACCACAATGCAACATGAATGGATATGGTAAAGCAGCTCCTACTAAAAACGAAATTCCTTGTTGTGTTTTGGAAATGCTCATCTTCATCACCTTCAATTGCTGCAGCACTTGAGGACTGAGTTAGTAATAGCGGATATTTACCAAAGAAACTGACAACCAAGGATAAAATAAATCAGTGTAACAAACATAAACCATACACCCTTTCCTGTCTCATTCTTGTGGACAAGATATCTCAGTCCCTTGACAGAACTTCTTCAAATTTGGCACAACCATTCACTAGGACTCAAAGATGAAAAGACTAGATTTTGGTGGTCAAAGGTCAACGGTCAAGGTCAGTGTGACCTCAAAAATCCTCATTAACCAAGGCTTCACACAGAAATGGTTAATATTTTAGATGACTCTGGATAAACAGGGATGTAATCTGAAACCAGTCTGAGTGGTGGAGGCAGACAACCGCAAGGAGGTAATTCTAGTTTTCTGACATAATTATTATTCTGAGGGAGTAGAGGGTCGGTGACAATTGAAAGTTGTGAAACGCACAATCCAGTCCAATCCAAACATGCCCGCATTATGGATTTGGATTGTACCAGTATGACCCACGGCCAGTCAATTCAACAGCTTTGAACTGTACAGTTGGTCTTAATATTGTTTTGTCAAACTATTCTCTATACAAAGTGTTTAAATTCAGAATGAACAAGTTTTCCTCTGGGATGGGAGCTGTTTTATTGAGCGTATAAATTCTCTTAAAATAGTGCCTTGCATCACATTTTACAAGCTACTGAGTAGAATCAAAGTCTTGTATTTTCAGCAGCTGGTGTTTTACAGCCTTGCCTGAAGGAATTCACCTCCCTAAATATACTAATATACTCACTGCATTCCTGCCGTTATTTTGTGACTGCCCTCTAATTCACTTTTTGTTGCAGCCACATTGCTTCAGTCTGCTTTATCTATGAACGAGCGGGGGTGTAGTGCAATATCTTTAAGTACCAAAGTTTATAAGCAAATAAAAAAGTACAAAATATACTGTTTTTAATAATATTTGGCCATTACTAACTACATTACATAACTTCAAAGACTTTAGCTCCTAAAGCTGGCTTCTAGCAATCAAATGTCAAGGGGATATAATGAAATATAAAAGTGTCAAGTATAGTCATATAAAGTCTTAGGATAGTGAGGCATTACAGTCACCAGTTAACATAATGTGCAACTATTTGGACTGTGGGAGGAAGCTGGAAAACCCAGAATATGCAAAAACGTCATAGTATAGTGAGACATAAAAACATCACAGTATAGTAAGGCATAAAAACTCATAATATATTAAGGCATAAAAAGTCATAGGATAGTAAGACATAAAATTAACACCATAGTATAGTAAGGCATAAAAACTTCGAAAGGCACGGGGAGAAGATAAATACTTCACATTGAAGTAGTAGGCCCCTGGCCTTGGATTCAAACCCAGAACCTTCTCACTGGGAGGCGCAGGTTTTGTCCACTAAACCACCGTGGACCAGGACTGCTTCCTCATCCACTCCTCTAACACCATAGTAAAGTTTGCCGATGACACAACTGTGGTGGGACTCATCTGTGACAACAATGAGACCTACTACAGACAGGGAGTCCGACATCTGGCTGAGTGGTGTTTGGACAACAATCTGGTCCTAAACACCACCAAAACGAAGTCGGTCATTGTGGACTTCAGGAGGT